ATGATCTATATATATATATTGTTTATAAAAAATAATTTTTAAAATTTAAAAGTCAAAAATTTTTTGGAACAATAAAAAATGATATTGAATTGTAGAATTCAAAAGTCATTTTCTTATAAACTAAAATGACAAAGCAAAATTTTCATTTTCTAGAGGTGCAGAAGAAAAATAGAGGTTACAAAAAGAAGTTTCCTAACAGATGTTATATTCATAGTCCAAAAATTAGCTCTCTCAACTGTTTTTGTTTGACTCGTTGTCTCTTTCTTCATGAAAATGAGAAATTATGATACTTTTAAAGACTACAGTTTGAGTATTTTTTAAAATTACGGGGAAAAAACTATTTTTATAAATATAGGAAACTGTTTCGGTAGATATTTTCGGGATCGAGACACAAACCTTCTCACAAATGAATGTTTTGTTTGGTGATTGAGTATTATGAACTCAGTAGGGTGTGAGTAGAATGTGAATAGAATGTTTTGAAATATGAATTGAGCATACTTGGCTGATGACCCTGACCTTGTATTAATAAGTTGTCTCATAGATCTAATATGATACAGGTCCAATAAAATATAAACAGACTTACCTTTCTCATAAACAACATATCAATATCTTAACTAGATATTTTAGATTTAGTGTTAACCGAACGGTTAATAATTAGTAACCGTTCGCTAAATACTATATCCGATACATAAACAAAAATGAAAATACAATATTTTCGCATAAGACATACCTAATATCTTCTTTAGATTTTTTTTTTTTGCAAATTATGACATATTCGCATGATGTAAAATTTATCTGATATTATGCGTTATATTTACAATTTAACGTGAGTGTGTCTTAATTTAAATAAGTAAAATGTTTATAAAAATATATTATGTAAAATATCCTATAAAAACAATACAAATATTTTTTTTTTATTTCCATTTTTTTTGGTAAATATATAGCTGAATTAAAAGTTAAATAAGAAGTAAGTATATTATTGAAAAAAAAATTATCAACTTCAATTTTTAAAATGACAAACAGAATATTTTCTTTTAAAGTTTTACGTTTAAAAAAGGGCATGAGGGAAGTGATATTATAATTTAAAGCTAACACATAGTTATATCTACGCAAACACTGGAGTTATTATATTATTTATTTTAAGAAAAAGAAGCAACTTTCATGTCAGTGATTTTTCTGTTAGGTGTTATCAAGTGATTTACCCACCTTTTTTATATGCGCATATATAATTGTGATATGGTTCTTCATACGAACTACAATATCATAGAGAAATTAGAAAAACTGTAAGAAATTATTAGACTGCATTTTCATAGTAAATTTCAGAAAAGACAGAAAGCGATCAATGGGAAGACAAGAACTACGTAGTTGGTGTCGCATGTACGATGAGATGTGGTGTTCTGGTGACACTTTGTCTCTTGCCTAAGCAACATTAATGATTATATATATAATAATTAGATCGATAATAAATAATTGAGAATAGATATATTGTATATTAAGATCGATAATATGCAGGTGTTGAAGAAGATGCTTTGCTTTGAGGCATTAACTGTTGCAAAAACTAAAACCTAAACCTAAACGTGATGCTGAATTGGTGTGTAAGAACTTTACGTGCCTCTATCAAATAAGCCCTTACGCTAAGAATATAACTTCATATGACGGAACCTCAACACTTCCACCGCAGCAAACTCCATCCTTTACCTTATTCTTTACTTTTCTTCATTCATTTCTTTCCCCAAAATCATTCTTCTCCAACACATATGTTATGCATACTATAAAAAACACTCATTTACTCTAAAGGTTAGGTATCACTTTCTCTATTTTATCTCAAGAAAATTAAATTACCACTCTGTTCTTTTCTCATGTACGCAGGCTATTAGTAAAAATATTATCAGTGTTATCATCTTTTAATAGACAATTTTTTTTTAGTATAAAAAAACTTCATCTATCTACTTCAGATCCTATATGCAAACAAATACTGAATTATAACGCTTTCAACAGAAATAAATATATATTTAATTTTAATTAATTATATCACAAATTCGAATATTATTTTTAAAAAAATCATGGAGCTAAATGATTTATTGATAGTTTAAAAAAGTAATTTTTAAATCAATATGCTAAAGTTATATTGTTAATACTTTGATAATACATTTATTTTATTAAATAAACATATGTTTTGTTAATAGCTTTAATATAAATTAGATATCGTAAGTAATAAAATTAGTAATTTAATAGTGGTTACAATTAAAAAAGTCATTGATCTCGATTAATATAAAAAAATTTACAGTTGTTTGACTTTTTTTTATATAAAATTGTATCATTCTGAAAATTCTTACAAAGTAATATATATATATTATATATAATGGTATATATACGGAAGTATTTAGGATATTCCTACTAATTATATAAAATAAGTGTTTCGCCTTATACCTCTATTCTTTCGTCTGTTTTACCAAAATTACAAATATGATTTTTAATCTTTTATTAATTTTCTTTTCTTTTTCTCTTTTCTTTTACTTTTTATTTAGAAAGTTTATAAACTCTTAATCTTATTAAGAGTTTATAGTCTTTCTAAAATCGATTAAGAAAAAAATATATTTCAAACTAAATTGTTGAATTCTTAATTATTTTTCGAAAACCGATTAAGAAATAAAGGATACAATGAGTGAAGAAGAAAAAAAGTAAAAAGGAAAAAAATAATTTAATAATCATATTTGTAATTTTGAAGGGGAGGAAGAAAGAAGAGAGATGCAATGAAACACCCATGTAAAATAAATATTTAAAATTACAAAATTTCCTATGATACTACATTTAAGAATCTCTTGAATCTCTCTACGCGTTTCAAAAAAAACCCAGAAAATGCACGATTCTGAATCTCAATGTTTAAAATAATTTTCAATTAAAATTAAAATATACAATTAAATATTAACCATCCACCTTGTCAAAACTCTCTCACATATGCAATCTTATTCATCCTCCCGTTAATGATGTTAATGTCGTCAATCAAAGACCAAAATCGTTTTTAAAAATTAAAAGATTAAAATGGAATTTTCAAAAACTAAATCTTTCTTAAAATTCAAATAAAATTAGAGAACCAAATTAATAATTAAGACTTAAACATGCTAAAGAAATGTTACAAACTATTAAAGTTATCCTAAGGTTTACATAAGTACATGCCTCTTATGTACACATTCACTAAACGCACCTTTCAAAGTACGTCCAATTTAACGACTTGTTGCTTTTAGTCAAAGACGCAACTATATGCATCATCTTTACCATCTTACCCCTATCAAACTCTCCTTTTTAGTAAAAAAAAAATATCATGTGGAGAAGTTGAATAATGTGATTGCCTAAAAACATAAATAAATAAAAGCTAAATTTGTAATTAAATCATGTAAAAAATAATTAAAGTAACTTAAGGTTGTTAAATTGATGTGAAAGTAAAGTGTTTACTCATCAATGTTCTTCAGTAAATTTTGTTCCCAATCATATACCTAATAAACTTTTACACTCATATCTAATATTTTACTTTTCATCTTCTTATTTTCCTTAAAATATAAAAAATAATTATCATGTTATTTTTAAAATTGGGTTATAAGTGGTTGGTAGAGTCTGAAAATATTATTATATTTTTTTGTGTGTCTTTGTCTAATTAATAACCATGTTAATATATCTTAAAATTAATTAAAATTGGTTGACTTCTATACAAATATAAATAATTATATTTAACATAAAAATTCTCTCTCTCTCTCCCTCTCTCTATATATAATTTAATAATTTTAATCAAGTTCACTCAACAATAAAAGAGTGCTTAATATTTCATTAGAACAAAAAGTCTTTTCAAACCTTATTAGGTTAATCTCCCTATTGATTTTAATTTATTACATATAAGCTAGTACTTACAAATAAAGTGGCATGAAGCAATTCTTTCACCAAACATACAGCAGTGACCAAAATCAAACAACCTAACACTTTTTTTCTCTGACATCCATAACTAGCATAACAAAGTAAAATCGCAAGTAAAATCGAGTGAATATACAAAGATATACATAGCAATATGAGCAAAAATTAAGCTAATATATATATATTTTCAAACAGCTATTATTATACAAATTTTTTATTAAGAAAAATATAAAAAAAAGAAATAAAAAATATACGAGAGACCATATCATAATTTAATTTTGATGTAAGAAGAAAAAGACAAATTCCTGGACTATTGATTATTTAGAATAGGTATACCCTTTATAACTATTTTTAATGACACAAATAAATAATATTAATATAGTCTGTATTTCCTTTTGTTAAAACGTTTATACTTATTTATTTATGTTGATTTTAAGATATATCAGTAAAATGAACATAAAAAATTTACGAACTTTTAGTCCATATATTATTTTTTAAAAAAGAAGAAAACACATTTGATAAAAGAATATTTTAGAACATATAATTGACTGCAATTTATATACCTCTCAGATAAACATATTTACACATACCAATGATTTTGGATCATGTGTATGCCTGACTTGATTATATAGTTGACTGTCTTGTGCCACAGTGATGCAGTTGTGATTAATTTGTAGAGAAAGAAACGTTTAGGTCAACAGCACATGAACTAACTGTTTAGCAAGAATAAACACACGTAAATAATGAATCATTTAATATTTAATATGATGAGAGAGATATAGATGGAATTATAAATTATTGAAAAATAAGATAGAAATAATCCTACACTTGGTTAAAATGGGATTGGAATTAGTTAAATTAAGCTGCAGTGGTTGAAGTAAAAGAAAGTAAGAAGGAAAAGCTAATAATAAAAGGTGGTGAAAGTTTGGAAAATGTGTGTGGTTCCAGGCTTGCAAACCAATCCTCCAGAAAGGAATCGTTGCCAAAAAGTAATGGGTTTGCTTCAAAGCCAACCGAATCTCACTCGTTTCCTAGCCTCCTCATGCTTAACATTGCATCTTTTCTCTCTCTCTTTCTCTCTTTCTTTCAACACTTCACATCTGTAATATAAGACTTCCAAGTTTGGAAACGCAACTCTGGCAAACCCAAAACACGTTACTATAGCTATCATAGGTACCCTTTTCCCTCTACTTCAAACCATTCTAAATATTAACTCCCACTCTCTTCATTGCGCTTCTTCCATTCTCTCTCTCTCTCATCAACATCATCTTCTTCATCACCATGCAAATGCAAGAGGAACACATGCAAATCATCAAGGGCAAGCGCACAAAGCGTCAGAGGCTTCCGTCCCCACTTAGGTTAACCATGTCAACATGTTCCACCGCAGACAACTCCGCAGCTTTTGAGCCTCCGACAACCTCAGATGAATTAAGGAACGAAGAGGATGAAGACTTGGCCAATTGTTTGATTCTCTTGGCTCGAGGCCATAGCACTCCAAAACCCTCACACGGCAAAGAATCCGGGCTATATGTTTACGAGTGCAAGACTTGTAACCGATGCTTCCCTTCGTTTCAAGCCCTCGGTGGCCACAGAGCCAGCCACAAGAGATTTTCCAAGGCTGGTGCAGAAGAAAAGCAAGTTACTACTTTTGGGGATAATATTAGTAAAATTAATCGTGATGATTATTGTCTCACCTTACAATTATCAACGGTTTTGTATAATAGTAGCAACAGCACTAGGAGTAGCACCGTTAATTCTAAATCTAAGGTTCACGAGTGTTCCATATGTGGGGCAGAGTTCTCGTCTGGGCAAGCCTTGGGAGGGCACATGAGAAGGCACAGAAATTTTCTGAGTTCACCTTCGATTGGGGCAATTGCATATGCTGGTGATAGAATCCCCGAAATTCCAGAAATCAAGAAACAGAAAGATGTTTTGAACTTGGACTTGAATCTTCCGGCACCTGAGGATGATCACCACAGAGAATCCAACTTGCTTCCTTTTCAGTCCAAAGAAAAAGTCATTGTATTCTCTGCAACTTCTTTGGTGGATTGCCATTACTAAAAGCTCAACTCTTTCTTCACTGTTAACCTTCATTATTGCTTTTTCTTCTTCTTACGTTTAGCCATGTAACAACCAATTGTTCATTCTTTACATTCATTATATGGTATGTACACTATTAAATTTGAATTTATTCTGTTAGTGGGGTTTCGGTATTGCCAATTTCTTGAATTCTTGTATTTTAATTATCGTTCCATTTTTTGGTTTTTGATATATAGTTCGTATGATGGTTCCTTTTTCTATTTCACATATTCCACCGTCATGCACGTGAGAAAATTGAGAGAGAAAGTGGGTGAAAAATTAAAGCAGAGAAGAATAAAGCTGCAGGTATGAATGGGTGAAAGATAAGTTGCATCAAACTGATAGCAGAAAACGAAAGACCCAATGGCAAGCAAAGCCATTGGCTAACTTCCTAACTCATGGAACTTTAGTCATCAATAGTAATTAATGAATGAAGTTGTTTCAGGGAACAGAGTTTATATAAATTAGTTAATTAAATAAAGTGTTCTTTCATGTTTCTGCAATCAATGCTTTAGTTAAGGATATATTTCATCAAGGTTTTTTTTTCTTCTATATCTCGAATGAAGTGTTTACGAAATTGATAAAATTGATTTTGATTTCTTGATTTTGAAAGGGAATTATTTAAGTTTAAATATTGTCATTATAAAACAAAATAATAGCTAAAGTTAGTATAGGATTTTTTTTTTCTGATGTGAAAATTATTTAACATTGGTAAAAAATATATATGCTGATTACTTTTATTAAATTAAAATTATATCGATCATAGTTCACACACAAAGAATTTATAATCATAATAAAAACTTCAATAAAGGATTGTGTTTTATAGAATTCAAGTATTTTTTAATCCTTCTAACATAAATAAGATTTGATTTTGACATCTATAAAAATTTATTTGCTTTTCATCTATAAATTAAAATTTCACTTATTTTATTCTGTTGTATAATGGCATTGGTTAATGTTTATGTGTTGAATAAAAGGTGAAGTCAACATTACATACGTGAACATGTTAGTATTGTAATATAATGACAATATGCGATGTCTGAAAAAAAAGGTTTTGAATTTTGTAAATTAAATATTATTTATCTTAAAATGAATATTAGGCTCTAATTAAAAGTATAGCTTTGAAGATGAAATTCAAAGAAAATATTGTTATAACAAGAAATACAGCCAAAATTTACACATTTTATAAAGATTAAAAATAATGCTTTTAAATTTTATGGGAATAAAAAACAAAGAAATTTTTTATGAGAACGAAAATAAAAACTTCTTAATTTTATAGAAACTAAAATCGTATTTAAGTCATTTCAAAACAATAATTAATTATATGACAGTCGGCATATATGACTAAGTTTTATCACTTCTCCTCTCAGTTTCAAAAAAAATAACTATAGTTTCTTTCTACGTTTGGATCATCAAAAAATAATTTTGCTAATTGAAGAACTATAATATTATCAACAAGTGATAAAAAAAAGGGTTTAGGTACCTACCTACATTTATATTAATATCTCTATTTTCTAATACAAAATATGAATTGTTAATATATTTAATTAAGAGCACTTCAATAAAAATTGTTATTCTACAAAAGAAAAGGAGAAGTTATATAAGAAACTCTTCTATCTTAATAAATTTATATTTATGAGATTTATATCAAAATAGTGCTTTTATTGACAAGCAATTCGTATTTGAAATTAATATAATAACTTTTGGTTGGTGGATAGATTGACAGCATTTCTATTGGATGATGACATACAAACACCCCATTTTCTTTTCAACATCCAATATTAATAAAATAGTATTTTTTATTTTAAAATATAAATAATTCAGAATAAATCAACTAGAAAAGTGGAAAAAAAAATAATCTTTGTATTAGGTGTTGGAGAGAGGTATAAAAATTAAGAAGTGTACATCAAATGGGAGGCATTTCCTTATTGGAGAATGAATTCATAACATTAAAAGTGGTGTTGCTTCGAACGTCAATGTCAACACACCAAAACATGCATTCACATACTCATGCACATGATTTATATAAGTTACATGTTACCAATGTTGACTTAAATTCATTTAAATATAAATCAAATTATGCTTTTAAAATAGAACAAATAATTTGGTTTATTTTCAAAATTTAGTTTGAAGTCTACTTGCTTCTCTCTTAAGTTTATATTTATCATTTTCTCCTTTTACTTTTAAGCTTTTTTTAGCATGTTATGTGTAATATATGAAATACAATGATTGGAGTTAATGGTCATTCATAGACAATTATGAGGTATTAATAGGTCAAATTACCTTTATCAGGTATTAATACGTCAGATTACCTTAGGCTTTACAAATATACGGTATTAATTATTGATGATTGAGTTTGATTCCCTGAAAATGGATAACTAATCCATGGACTTGATTGCCACAAACTCTATAAATAATACAACTGATGTCAGGTTTTGTGCAAGTCAACAACCCATTGGAGTGGATCGCGTTCTCGGAGAGGATTGGAGATCAAAAGAGAGCAGAGCAAGTAACGACGACCGACCCTTGGACCAATTCAACCGAAACATTTTGGCGCCCACCGTGGGACCGAGCAACATCCCCATGAAACCACGAGGAACCAGACGTATAGACGTGCGTTCGACCTCGACATTGCTACTTCAGACCAATACCAGGTTTTGCAACAAGAGTACAAAAGACATGTCTTTTGTTTTGAGAACTTTCAGGAAGATTCAGTCCTATGTACTTTCAACCTTGACAGGTTCCACTTTTCATTATAATTTGTAAATTATAACTCATATTTTTGTGAGTAAAAGCATCCTGCAGAGTAAAAATATTATGCACAGGATGGTTCAGAGCTGCGTTCAACCTTGTCAGGTTCTACCAACTCTTGATTTTAAATTCTAAAATATTATGCACAGATGGTTCAGAGTTGCGTTCAATCTGGTCAGGTTCTACCAACTCTTAATTTTAAATTATAAATTATAAAATATTATGCACAAGATGGTTCAGAGCTCGTTCAACCTTGTCAGGTTCTACCAACTCTTAATTTTAAATTATAAAATATTATGCACAGGATGGTTTAGAACTGCTTTCAACCTTGTCAGGTTCTACCAACTCTTAATTTTAAATTATAAAATATTATGCAGAGGATGGTTCAGAGTTGCGTTCAACCTTGTCAAGTTCTACCAACTCTTAATTTTAAATAAATTATAAAATATTATGCACATGATGGTTCAGAGCTGCGTTCAACCTGGTCAGGTTCTACTAACTCTTAATTTTAAATTATAAATTATAAAATATTATGCACGGGATGGTTCAAAAATGCGTTCAACCTTATCAGGTTCCACTTTTCATTATAATTTGTAAATTATAACTCATATTTTATAATTTAAAATTAAGAGTTGGTAGAACCTTGTCAGGATGGTTCAGAGTTACGTTCAACCTTGTCAGGTTCTACCAACTCTTGATTTTAAATTATAAAATATTATGCACATGATGGTTCAGAGTTGCGTTCAAGCTGGTCAGGTTCTACCAACTCTTAATTTTAAATTATAAATTATAAAATATTATGCACATGATGGTTCAGAGCTGCGTTCAACTTTGTCAGGTCCTACCAACTCTTGATTTTAAATTATAAAATATTATGCACAGGATGATTCACAGTTGCGTTCAACCTTATCAGGTTCTACCAACTCTTAATTTTAAATTATAAAATGTTATGCACAGGATGGTTCAGAGTTGCGTTCAACCTTGTCAAGTTCTACCAACTCTTAATTTTAAATAAATTATAAAATATTATGCACAGGATGGTTAAGAGTTGCGTTCAACTCTTAATTTTAAATTATAAATTATAAAATATTATATGTAGGAAGGTTCAGACCTCAACTTGGTCAGGTTCTACCAACGCAGAAAGGTTCAAACTTACCTTCAATTATGACAGGTTATAATGGCCGCTCGGGGGAAGTCAGAAAAATGACTTCAAAAATCCTTGCTCAACGGAGGAAGTCAGAAAAATGACTCCTGCCTCAAGACCGCTCGGGGGAATTCAGAAAAATGACTTCAGAAATCTCCGCTCAACGTAGAAAGTCAGAAAAATGACTCATGTCTCAAGACCGCTCGGGGGAAAGTCAGAAAAATGACTTCAGAAATCTTCGCTCAACGCAGAAAGTCAGAAAAATGACTCTTGTCTCAAGATCGCTCGGGGGAAAGTTAGAAAAATGACTTTAGAAATTCCCGCTCAACGCAGTAAGTCAGAAAAATGACTCCTGCCTCAAGCCGCTCGGGGGAAGTCAGAAAAATGACTCATGCCTCAAGACGAAGTCAGAAAAATGACTTCAGAAATCCCCACTCAATGCAGGAAGTCAGAAAAATGACTCTTGCCTCAAGCCGCTCGAGGGGAAGTCAGAAAAATGTCTTCAAAAATCCCCGTTCAACGTAGGAAGTCAGAAAAATGACTAATGCCTCAAGACCGCTCGGTGGGAAGTCAGAAAAATGACTTCAGAAATCTCCGCTCAACGCAGTAAGTTAGAAAAATAACTCCTGCCTCAAGCCGTTCGGGGGAAGTCCGAAAATGGGCTTCAGAAATCATCGCTCAACGCAGGAAGTTCGAAAAAGAACTCTTATTAGTCAACTACTCAACAAGTTCAGTTTTGTAAGGTTCCAATGTCTTTTCATTATAAAAATAAATTATAAAATATTGAAGCATTTACTTTATTTTATTTAAAAGCATGTTTTTTGGAGTGAAAATCTCTTGCACATGAAAAAGTGTCAAAGAGAACTCTTAGCATTTTCTGTTCAGGAAACAGATCCAAAGAGAACTCCTAGAGTTCGTAGCTCAGTACAAAGAGTAATGTAGACTTAAAGCATCGAAGATAGACTCCCTAAATACAACGTGAGCGACCTCTTTTAAAGCTCATAATAATCCCTATGCACATCTTTCGAATAAAAGAGCTTGTTTGGGCTTGGGGGCTTATGTACTATATGAAATATACGGTATTAATTATTGATTATTGGGTTTGATTTCCTAAAAATATACGTATAATTAATCAATGAACTTGATTGCCACAAA